CCGATGGAGAATCGTTTCCGTCAACCTGGCCAGAAAGGACGTGCGGCGGGCGCTTGCACTCTGCTTGCTGATCTTGCGGTTTATCGATCGTACGGAGTAGATCCACATCCCGGGGTTTTATTTTGGGGAGGAGGCAGTTGTTGTTCTTGTTGCTGTTGCTTCTGCACCTATTGGATGTCCGCGGAACACGTGGCCCTTGAAGCGCTCCTTAGCGATGGTGGCGCTCTCGGTGTCCAAGAAATCCACGAACCCGACGTCGCTGGAGACACGACCACAGGCAAGAAAACATAAAACATGCGAAAGAGCGAGCGAAAAATTGAAACAAAACCTCGTGCAACAGCACAATGCAACGCGCGCATTTCGCCAAAATATGTTGTGCCCATACGGCGACGCATGCGAGACTTGGTGACAAAACCGTCGAGAAAGCAAAGGGCGAACACAGCAGTGTGGCCACCAAACAATCTTTGTCAGCCCTGCTACCCACACAGGGGAAGCGTCACTACTGTCTACTGCGCGGGGAACAGCAGAAAACACAGCTTGGCTACCACAACAACGCTATGAACTCGTTTCCGCTGTGTCCCGGACTCCCTCTTACCTTGGAGAAGAGATGGGATTCGTTGTGTGTGACACTACATATGCACAGGATGCTTGGTTAGTTCTACACGAAAACAGGCACGCAAGGAATCCATCCAAAGGAAATAGTCAGGGATCCATAGATTTAGCAACAATCACTTCCTACAGGTATCCATCTTTTTCGAAAGAAAAATAATAACCGAACGGGCGCCTCTCGCTCAGTGAATTGTTTACACGCAAGTTCAAGAGCGAAAATACAGAAAAATGAAGAGCACACACACACTCACTGCTCGTTCTTGTCCTTCCTGACCCTGCAAGACTCGAAGCCGTGGCATCCCGCGAAGAGCCTCTCCAGCTCCTGCAATGAAATGAACCAACACAGCAACGAAGCAAGACGAGGAGCAGGAAGAGAAATGACAAAACAACGGAGTATCGATAACGAAAACAGTTAACATTCTTTTCTCATGATGCACAGCAGTACACGGAGACGAATGACAGCAGTATTTTACCACGCACGACTTTATACCAATCTGTTCGAAAATGTAAGAACCATTCGGATACAAACCCGAACAACACAAAATATGTGTGTGTGTTTCGTCCCATCTATTCGGGTGCCATTTTACATACCTTTCGGCGTATGTATCTACCTGACATGGTACTCCTTATGAGCTGGGGTCACACAAAAGGAAGGCCACACAGGAGCTTTGGTCAAGTTTTTGTTTTTTTGGTCCACCATTCCCCCTACAATGAATGAGAGAGAGCGAGGGAGCGATGCATCTGAGGCGCGAGTATCTGGCACAACGCCAGATCGCATGTCGCACGTTCGCGTGGACACAAAAGTGTAGGGCTTGGCACCTCGGCTATCGTGAATCCTCGTCGATAGGATTCTACCTGTGCAATGTGTGTAACGTGACTGCGTGGCCGCTGATCACGAATACAAAGGGGTATAGCAATGTCTTCAACTCCCAAGGACGACAACGAAGACCGTAATACGTCGCGATAGCATGACGACCATTGATCACCACTTGCCACCAACAAGCAGATACGGACACACGCACAACGGGCATTCTGATCAGGTTGGAATATCCGCGGCTTGACTGCCACGCCATCACGATGCTTCCAGCTGGACCATTAGGATCTCTACTCGGGAGGAAGAGATTGGCTTTTGATACTGCTGAAGTTCATGCTCGGCGAGCTCCACCACGAAGACAGCATCGGCGTTGGCTCTCTCTACTTCCCCTGCTCTCAGCGCTTACACGGTGGTCAAGGTGGTGTGTGTGTGTTGTGTTTTCGTCCTGTATTATGGCGACACTCCCCCATTTTTCGTGGTGAGACGTGTACTACATACAGTTCTTCAGCGAATGTAGAGTACTACCCTTTTCATTGTCTTTTTTCGTACTACAACCATCCAACGTCACACAGGAGGGGGTAAACACCAGGGCTTTTTTTCTTCTTTTGTTTATTTTCATGGCCCACCATCTTCCTGCGGTACATGCTGAAATCTGTTCTTATCGCGAGAAGGGTCCGGCCGTTCCTTTCCCTGGTCAACGGTGCTAACGTTGAAGTGTGGTACTCACGAGAGCTTTTAAGCAATATTTCGCTTTTACCCGCGCATTTGGGTAAATTTTTCACCCCATGGAAATTCGAACTCACGTCCTCTGCGACTAGCGGATTGCGAGGATACCACTAGACCACCGGGGCGACCGGTCTGCAAAATTGTAAACCGACCTCAAAATATAAGCCCAGTTTCCAGCCGTTTTCACCCCACTCACTGACAAGTGATACTGAGGGCGTTCCTCTCGACTGCTCTTGTGGTTGCATCTCGACGTACAGTAATCTTTTGTAATATTTCTGCGAGATTGTGTACCACATTTCTACCGCAATTCTCACGTCAATTTCACAAAAAAAAACGTGGCCGTGCGTCTCTAAATAGACCACTTTTATCCGGACGGATGAGCAGATCTCCGAAAAGCAATGCCTTAGATCGTGGGTTAGGAGCTGCGGGCCCATGCACACACACGAACTGCCGTAGATCACAACCATACGGAATGCCATGATTCACATGATGAACATGAAAAAAAAAGCGGTGACCCTTCTTGCTCCGAGTCCGAGTGAACCGCCCACAGATCATGCAACTGATTTCACGCGGGCGAACTTTGTCTCTGTTCTGTGGAACACCTGGTGTCTGGGGTGTGCTTGCGAAAAACAGCGAGGGTTTTCTCTATTGGCTGCTCTGCTGGTGCAGTGGTGCTCGATGAATGGGAGGCCGGCGCCCATGTAGCACAAGGACCGAACGAAGGTTGCGACGATGCGCGGCTCTAAGCGTGCGGGCGGGTCGCGTAATCAGCAGCCTCCAAAACTATTATAGGATACAAACCGAACATGTAAATAGTGATCGTCGAAAATTCGCCTCCACACAACGCAAGTACTGCTGTACAAATGAGATCTGGCCTGCAAACAAACGCGCGGACCACGACAGCAGTGCACATACAAGTCGGAGGACACACGCAAGGCATCACCAAACGGTAGTAACATGGGGCAAGGGGGTTCGGATGAGCGAAGCGGGAGCGACGACATACAAAGCGCCCTGAATTTGGTGTGCGGCCTGGTGCGCTCCATGCACGTTCAAGCCCAGCTCAAAAAGTAGATGCAGTGTTTGTTCGCGAAACACACGCCAGAGAAAATATGTCGGTTGGTGGCAGGCAATACATACGGAGCAGAAGAGGATTGGACACGTGCGTGTAGGGTCGGGAGCCAAGCATCCGCGCGCGGTAAACAACGGCAACGGGGGACAACAACAACGACCTCGGGGTAAGTTCAGCCTCGCTTCTTGCAGCAGTAACCGCCGCTTTTGCCCGCTGCGCATGCAGCCCCTCTCCTCTCTAAGCTGGGGTGGGTGTGTCTTCCTGCGCGTACGGCACGAAAAAAACAAAGTTTTCATATTTCCTAGATGTGATGGTGCACACCGTCCTTTCGAACAAGGCCGGCCACCTGTCGCGCGCCAACGCCACGATGAGGCGCCTCCAATCACCGCAACTACGGATGAATAGAAACAATGCCATCCCGTCTGTTATACAACGCGCGGCGGGCGCACAGCAGCACAGCAGCAGCAGCAGCAGCTGATCCCATGCCCCTTACGGGCACACGGCACCCGAGGTTCTCCCGCTCTCGAAGACCCTCGATGGTTGTCCCGAGGGATGTTCGACAGAGGTATTTACAGGTGCTCTCGTTGCTGTTGTGCCACACACACACACCGCGTGCCGCCCGCGAAGATCTCTCCCTCAAATACTCTCCCCCTCTCTTTGTGAGCGCGATTTCGCACCCGGGCATAAGTACCAAGCCCAAAACCACCATCGTTCTTCTCACCTTTTCGGTGATGTCACTGGGAAGGTCGGACACAAACAGCCCGTGGCTCGGTATGTCGCGATCGCCCATTGCCTTGCGCTTGCTCCCGAGTTCAACAATATTGCTAAATCTCCGTCTTAATGGGACCTAACTATGCCCGTTTATCTATTTGGGTCGATTCCCAAAGCGGCGGCGGCAGCGGCGGCGTCCCCCCGTCCCACCTGTTTTTCTCGTCTTTTTGCTGGCTTGTGTCGGCAGCCAACCAGGGTATGGTCTGATGTGAGGATGAAATGGGATGGAGGCCGAGCGAATCTCCGCCGGGGGCACAGCGGATGGGAGTTCTGTTCTCACATCATTCCCAAGGATCTCTCCGATGCATAGGTAAGATACATCCAGCCTCTGGACCGCTGATGACCGAGTTGTAAGCTCGACTACTCCACGATGAAGAGTTGATGCCACGGTCAAACCTTTGGAAAGGCCCTTTGGGAGAGACGGTTCCAACGCTGCCATTTCGGCTGTTAGTTACTGCGTTGCTGCTGCGAGAATCGGTTCGGGGGTCGAAGGACCCACAGCTGCTGCTTCCGTTGATGGGTACAACGCATTGGCGACGCGCATCAAAGATACTGAGTAACCCGTTCGCCTGTTGATATATACGCACGACCTCCATTATTGTTGCGTATTTGAAGTGTTGAGGTTGTTTGTGTTTTCTCCGTGTACTAAGTCTCCCTGTCTCTGCGCTTCGCCGAGCTCTCAATTTTTTGTTGGTATTTTTTCAAGCACACCCATAGACTATGCATACAATGTATTGACCATGAACGAAGACAGGGGTATACCTATCTCCAGAGGGCCTGGAGATGGGGCGGGGCGAAGTCTAAAACCAAGCCAAGAGGGAACATTTGGCAATTCTTTTTCACCTTACATTTGATTTCGTCCTACCCACTGGGTCTTTCTTTAGGACAGGTTTGTATCAAGTGCTTCCCGCCCATCTTCATGGCACCGTGTTATTAACAATAATGTACTACTGAAGAAAAAACGGATCCAAGTCGGTGGTCATTGCTTGCGTTCGTCTTTCTTTATTCTCTCGCTCTCTTTCTCTCTGTCGTCTTCTCTCCCTGGTCGTCATCATGATATGCCGCGTTGTCCCGCCGAGAGTGTGCGCACGCAACAAGTGCATTGCAAGCTTTCATGTGAGCGTGCGATGACCGTAGTACAAACATCATGGCTCATCTTCAACCCCCACGTGGTGGAACAGAAGCAAAACTTATGCTCCTCCTGTGTACGGAGCAACGATCACCTCGGACGAATACCAGCTCCAACCGTTGCTGCTTGTGTGATGTCTCCTATCCCCCGAACCCTTCACCGCACCCCCCGCGAGACCCCCTCCCCCCCCCAAGAAAAGCATTACCGCAAGAAAGGATTGTCCTTCATACTGTTCGGTGGCGGCAGAGGGGAAGAGGAGTTGGTGGGGGGAAGCCGGGGCGGGCGGAGGATAGTCCGAACGAACACATGGTTTGGTTTTGACAACCGAAATTGTATCAGTCTCGGGAACGAAACGCCTCTCTTTCCACGCGTGCGCGCCCCCCCACCACCATGCATGCGCCGTGTGAAGTGTGAAGCAACAATGACCACAAAAAAAAAACAGCTGCTCCCGTTGAGCTCTCATATAGCTAGGACATTCACGCCTTTTGTCCAGAAACAACGGTAGACTGCACAAAATGCACGTGGGACACCGCTGAAACGACCAAAATCTGGAAATACATCATGCAGAAAAAAACACAGAACCGCCTCTTCCACAGGTGCCAGATTCTGAAGAGAGCTTCAAGTCAACGGGCACACAGCGGTTCAGACGGAACAGACATGCTCTCCCGGGGGTGGCAAAAATCGCGTTTGGTTGTAGATATCGTCCGACTCTCAGTCTTTCGGTCTACCCTTTCCAAGCCGACCAAATCAACACGCCTTCCAGCCATGCCGCAGAAGGATGATACGAAAAAAACACGCAATCTGTCAAACATCAGTCTGAAGGCGAAAAAAAGTCCGCTCGAAAAGACGAGAAAGAAAAAAAGAAACAAACCAAAGACACAATTGCCCAAGGGCATGTGCCGTCTTAGTTATTCTCTTTCTCTCTCTTCCGCTTGTGGTCTCTCGCCAGACAAGGCTATCGGACGGAACCAAACAGGCGACAGAGTTCATTTCGCCCGGAAAAAAACCAATAGATCTCCCTCAGGAAAAAGTCACGGACGCCGTATCGTTCCCATTACCCCGACTTGTGAGTTGGGACCAGACCAAGCAAGTAGAGAGAAAAAACCGAGAGGCCAAATGGAATCAGCGCCCTCCTTGATCGACTCGGCAAAACTCCCTCCGTGGTAGAAGCACGCCTCGGAGCTCCTAACGCCAAACGAACAAACGCCGATCAGCGGTGACACCGTAACCTAGCTCCAGCTATCAGGAGACGGGACATTTTTTTTTATCAAACCACGGTGGTAACGAAAATCAGCCAGGCGGACCGACCGACCGCTGCCGTCCCTGTTCACCGGATAAACTCCCACTTGTTGACCATGATCTTGGACACGCACTGCAGCGCGTGGCGCTGGATGTCCTTGTGCTCGCTGTCCACGAGCAACATCAGTCGCTCCTTTGCGCTGTGTCGCGGCGTGGTTTGTTTTTTGTTCCGTGATAAAACGGGAGGGAAACCGGGGAAGGGAGGGGGCGTGTCCTATGTAAGAATGTGTTGATATACGGCACCATCTCATCTCACTACTGTAAAAGTGTCCCATGTGTGTTGAAGTCGGTCGTATCATCAAACTGCAAGACAACACTTGCGTGCTGTTTGGAGACCGCGATTTTGAACAACGAGCCGGCATGTTATGTGCTAGTAACAGGAATTATTGCGTTTTCCGAGGTTGGCATACACCCTCCCTATTACGCTGCTGAGGGTGGGTTTCACCACAACGCTAGACGAGTTACCTTTGCGATTTCGACTACCGACCTTCTAAGAAACGCCCACCGAGTCAACTGTTTGAACTCATATGGTTCTGAGAAATATACGCGGAAGAATTGGCACAAAGGACAACCTTCAGCTCCTCCTTTCGAGGGCCACGTGGGTTTCGAGGGCCCAAAGGACAACAAGTACGACCAGTGAAGTCGAAAACATTACTTCCTCGTAGTTCTAAATTGTAGCGAAAATCTTGCGTGAAGCAATTCTACGCTAAGTCTCTTGTTGGCGTTTCTCCACTCACCCTAGGTGTTTTACAATTGTCTTGCCGCTAGGGTAGAAGCGCACGAACTCCCCCAGGTCGTAGCACGCGATGGACACAACGCTCTTGTCCTCCGACTTGAGGAGCTCGATAAGCTGGATGGCAAGAGAACATAGCGGCAAGACCGAACGAGTTGCATACGCAAAACCATCGGGAGGAAAGGAAGGGAGGGTAAGGAGAGGGAGGGAGAGGGAGGGAGGGAGTATGCAAGGGTGTGAATGCGTGGTTTGGGATTACCTGTCACAAACGGTCGTCATCCCAAGGACAATAACATTGTAAGAAACAACAACAACAACGTGAGCAGCAGCAACAATGCCACAGGGCGTTCTTCGACCTGCTTGAGGATGAAGAACTCGTCGGCCTCGAACTTCCTGGCCTGCTCCCTCCAGAACTTCTCCGTGTGCACCGGCCCCCACTTCAGTTGGCCGGACATGACCTGCAGGGGGGAACGAAAAGCAAGCACGCCAAGGAACAACGCCGGAAGGCTAGATCAGATATCACGCGCACACAGCGATATCTAAGGGCACTGTAAGAAGCGGAGAGATGGCACCCCTCGCAGACAGACCTGTCAAAGCTCGACTACTCCACCACCAAGGAGGTGCGGAAAAACTTCGATGCGCCTCTACGGAAAGTCGTTGACGAGGAGATGTTTCCAAAACCACCATTTTCGGAGTTGGCACAGCCTTCGTTGTGGAGTACCGTAATTGTGCGTGTTATCGCACCCCCGAGTTATTTAGCGTTTTTCAATAGCGTATTTCTCCACAACCAGGGACGTATCGCCTCCGGCAAGGGTGGTTTTGGAAACATCTCGTCGAGGGCTTTCCGGAGAGGTGGCAGTTGGTGTTCGCACCCTCCTAGTTGAGGAGAAATACGCTACAGAAAAGCCCTAACACGGGGGTGCGATAACACGCACAAATGCGGTAATCGAGGTTTGAAAATGGGGGTTGCCATCTCTCCACCGCATGCGGTACTTGGACCTTCATATCTTTCAAGCGGTGGAAGCGAACTCTGTTGGCGTCATGTCTACGGTGCATGTGCTTGGACTTCATGAAAACTAAAACTTGACTCCAACGCGCGGTTGGAGAGAGAAAAAAACAGGGAGCTTGTCGTTTCGATATTTTTTTTCTCTCTTTGGTTCGCTTCACTAAGGGGTACGCGTTCGAATCACAATCCATCTCCACGGCGAAGAGAAAAAGTCCGAAACGATTCGTGATGCGGTGAGATGCGGAGGTGTGACGCTACCTAGCGTAAGAGAGCTTCTCAAGTTGAGGTTAGCAGTCAGTGGACAACACGGAGAGCCGGCTCACTACTGATACCGTGTCACGTGGGCTGCTATCTTCGCACGATTTGTGTTTGAGAAAGTTCTGCGAGAATCACGCCAAAAACATGCAGAAACAGAAATAGAAAGAAACGCTAGCGCCGCCTGCGCGATGCGGCATCTGGCTTGCCCACCTCCTGGGAGTAGCGTTCGAACGTAGAGAGGTCCCGCGAGTTACGCTGGAGGACGCTGGAGAACGAACATAGCAGCGGCGAGGAGGGGGGGCGGGGGGGCGGGGGTCAGTCAAGGCGGCTCCTAGAGAGGCAACTCGCCAGCTACCCCACGAAGAAATGGTCAAAAACCATGGGCATCAGAATCACCCCACAAATCCGTTCGGAAGAACGACGTGCAGCAGCGAGTTGTCTACCACACGATAAGTTGCCCGGCCCTAGCACAAACCCTTGTTGCTGTTCCTGCACACCAAAACCTCTCATGTAGTTTCAAGTTAGCACACCCTCCACGTCCTTCTTCCGCTTCAAACACGGCAAAAGACGGCGGGCGGGTAGAGATCACGGTCTCAACGGGAAAAAACGCATTTTTCTGTCTCCGTCTGTCTGTCTGCCTGTCTCTCTCTCTCTCTCCCGCTCTCTCTCCTGAAGGATACCGCACACGGGACAGGCACACACACACAGACCCACGCACGTGTCCAACGTGTCCACGTCCTCCTTGATATCCGGGTCCGCCCACTGCCGGGTATTCATGTTCCGGAGGGTCTTGGGCAGCCCGCACGCGATCATCTCCGCGTTGAAGTTCATCGCCTGTAATACAAGGACAAGGGGGGAAAATGTGACGTGGCATGCAGGCGTATGAGATGCATGAACAAGAGAGCCATTTCAGACGACGAATCAGGTAGACACATAGTTCATGAGTAAATATCAAAGCTGAAGCGGAAAATAATTTCCCTTTGCACGCGCTCAACAACAAACCCGAAACACGGATAGCCTTCACGACGTGTACGCAGCGATGCACCCATGCCGTAAATACGCTGTCGATGCTTCAAGGACGTACGTAGAGAAGCAGGTAGAGGAAAATTGCACCCTGGTGTGTGGTCTTGTGGCAGCTGGATCGAAGGGGAACCTTGCCCCGAAGGCCACGTTCGCCCGATTTCTTCTCCGGCTCTTCTTGTCGTAACCAACACCCATCCACTGTCTCAAGGCACGGGAAGCGCACGCGAGGCTAGATCGGAAATATCTCCTTCCTCAAGTTTGTGACTGTTCTTCTCCTGAGGCGTGAATGCGTTGCATTGGCCAAGAGTACTCCCGACCGAACAGCCTAGCCTTGCCCGTTAGTGGCATCGTGGTAGCAACATACAAATGCCCCGGACACAGCAGCTCCAGCCTTCAAGAAACCAACTCACGAGATCGAAACAGGCGGGAATGTGGCAAAATGCCCGGCAGAAATGTCGCACGTACCTCCCCTTCCGTGAGGTGCTTGAGCGCGGCGAGAGAGACTCGGACGACCTTTTCGGAGGTGGCGGCGGCGACCTGAGGGAATGAAGGTCGTCAAGACGCGCGATCTCGATCCGGGGGGGCGGGTATGGATTGCCGTTGTAGCTGTTGTTGTTGTTGTTGTTGTTGTTGTTGATGTTGTTGTTGTTGTTGTCGCTATCGTTGGTGTCCTCACAAGAAAAACAGCTCCGGTCTCCACGAAGCACCGTCTACATATCTCTACCGGTCCCAAGTGGTGCGGATGGCCTCCGTGGTCACATGGATGCAAGGGCAAGCCAGAATCAAACCAAGTATTCAGCCAGGTATTTCCCACCATTCACAAAAGACTTTAACGCATCCATTTGATAGGGGAACGACATGTAGTGGTACCGCTGTGATTGCACGTACACTGGAAAAGATAATTTGATCGCGCTTAGTGGCGAAGAAGGCGCGACCTTCGATCCGGGGTTGTCGAGTTACAGATTGATCGCGTCAGTAATGTTGGCTTGAGAGACGCGACTTTGGTGGGTACAACATGGTACTGAGTACACCAAGCCACATGCGTCAAGTCAAACAAGAACAGAGTACGCTCACAGAATTGCTCCGCGCGAAAACATTGAACCATGCATCTGGCCACGAATACAGACTACAGACTCAGGCCGGATCGTTGTCAAACGATGGTTGGAGGCCGTAAACACCTTATCATACACGTCGAGGTTCGACATAACGGAGCGACCGCGCGACCCGGGCCATTGGGGCCGGCGGAGGATGGGAATCTCTCCTTACCTCCTTGACCTGGTTGTAAGACTACGCGCAGAGCACAACTACACGCGCACCTCTGAGCAACGGTAGAAGTTCGCAAGTGAAGCCATGCCCGACGACCCCACTGAAATGTATGCCCTCACCATGGAACTTGATGCACGCGCCTTCACAGCCGGGTGACATGATCGTCACCACATTTTTGTGATCTTACGATGAGCCGTCTCGATCCAAGCACAACGTCATCCTCAACGAGAGAAACCATAAGACCGGCTTGATGCGCACGCCGGCGGCATTTTAGCGCAAAAAAAACCCGAGCAACTCGCTTTGATGGGCACAAAGTGATCGCTCCAACGCGAGACCTCACGAACAAATCGACACCCACCCACAACATCTACTCCGGCACGTGGGCTTCCTCATAACCAAAAAAAAAATCACGGAGACAATCCTGTGCGGGACCTGCTGGGCGAGGATGGGGATCGCGCCGCAGCTCATGAAGTCCTGCTTGACCTCGTCGCAAAGAGACACTGACCAAAGGCAGAAGCACAGCTCGTACATGAGCTGGGCCATGCTACTGTCTCCCCCCTTTGGTGTAAAAAAAAAAACGGAACGAGAGAGCAACGAGAGGAAGATGGCGTACCGCACAGCACAGAAATATGAAGGAGGGAGGTAGGGAGGGAGACACGGAAACGGAGCAAGGTGAGGGACAGGGCGTGCACGAAATAAACCGCCGTAGATAGCGTGCGGCTGTCAGGAGTTGAGATTCCACTGCCGTCAAATCCCCTGCCGTATCCAAACAATGTATGGTTGCACAGTGCTGAAATTCCCCGCCTCTCTTGAGAATGGAACCCCTCTGCCGGCCTAGTCTCGAACGGTCTAACACGAAACCAACACGAAGACCTAGTGTACCTGATCTAGAAAGCACACACGGCTCCCATTTCTCCCCTCCCTCCAAAGTCGTTCCGACACTGGTCAAGGGTAGGCGCCACTAGAAAAAGTCTGCCTGTCCGTCACAGCAGGATGGCATCTTGCATAAATCGTGCGAGTAGCTATATTTTCGATTCCTTAGTGTAAGGTTCTGCAAAGGACTCCTCCCTGGACGGTGGGCCCCCCCTGCGAATGTTGTTTATTCGTTGACGGGCGAAATACTGTCGCAGTCAGCGGACACGAACAGCAAAACAGCAGAAGGAACAGCAGCAGCAGCAGCAGCAGCAGCAGCAGCAGCAGCAGCAGCAGCAGCAGCAGCAACAGTAACAATATCAATAACAATAACAACAACAACAACAACAATAGCAAAAAAACACGCAGACCAACAAGTTCACCTACATCACCTACGCACCTGCATCCTGATGATCTTGGTAAGGTACGCCACACCGCCGTGCCTGCCGAACGATATCCTCGCCGTGTCGTTGCGGAGGAGAACGCAGAGAGCCTGCACGGCCCCGCGAACGCTCTGCCCGCGGCCGCGGCCCATGGAGAGCTGCTGGCAGATCCACGCGGTCAACGGTTCGCTGTCCGCGTTCAAGTTCTGCAGCGAGGGAAGGGGGTAGGGGTCAAACGCGCCGGCAGCAGGAGTGGTTCCAGAGGCAGCAGTGGTAGCGGCAACGGGATCAGCATTGCAACACGCGTTTCGTTCATGGGATCGAGGGATGAGGAAGGGTGGAACGGGAGGGACGCACAAGGGGAGCACTACACCGATCTCTAATCCAGGCCCCAAGATGCCCAATCAACCCTCTGGTTTGACACAGCAAACACAGCAAACGCAAGGATGATAACCAGCTTCTGGTTGTCATCTTCATCCTTGTGGATCGTAGCTTGGGCCGGCGAAAACCCGGCAATATCGCTCCGTCCAAGCGATAGGCATACGAGGTCAATGGTCGAACGACTACGGCATGCCTTTCCATGAGTACCCCCCCCCCCCGAACCTGTTCGCCGTCCTATTACAGTGGCCATGAAAGCCGTACTTACCGTCAAAGCGATGAAAAGCATTCTTGAGTTGAAAACGAAAAGCCAGTTGTCTAGCTCATCGCTAAACGAGAGAGACGACAACAAATAGCGTCGCTCACCAACACTAAACGTGTCAGGTACTTCCGTACATGCCAAAAACAAGAGCTGCTGCTTGTGCAAGACGGGAGCTCGACCATTGACTCACCACGATCAAGAGCGCCAGGACGATGCTCGCGACCTGTTGGGCTGCCGCGTCCCCGCTGTCGATTACTCTCAAAAACGGCGTCTGGTCGAGGGGCTTCTCAGGCGAGGAAAGGAAGAGCTGGGATCGCACCTTGCAATCGTCGGCTACGATATCCTCGCACCTGCGTTGCAGCAAAAAGAGGGGGACATCATTGGGAAACGAGGCGCTCGATCAGAATAGGTCGTGTGATACGCGTGTGCTCGACTTGACAAACCGTTGCAGGAAGCCAGCCAGCCATCGTGCGAAGCTCCTGCAACTTCATCCACAAAAAAAGGGACACGACGTGCGTGCATTTCATTCAAAACAAAACAAGACACGAAACGCATGGAATATCATTAAGACGCAGGCGTGTGTGTGTCCCTGGCAGTACCCTGGCAGTACCCTCCGCAGGGTTTTCGTCCAAGCAAACATGCTGGAAAAAGCATGCAATTGGGGAAGTTGGGTTAGGGATCTGGTCTGAATACCCCCTCCGTGTTCTATTCTTCTCGTATACTTGCAAGTTAAACTAAATTTCTCGCGAAGGCGGTCGGTCCATACCTGGAGACGGCGAAGTACTGTGCGCGAGCGTCCGAGGTGGTGGTCTTCATGATCTTCACCAGGGTGGAGACGTATTTCTTGGCAGCGACCTCGTCGTGCATGAGGAACTCCACCGCGCTCTCGTCGTTCGCCCGTAGTTGCTCCACCTTCGTCGCGTTTTCATGCACCGCCGTCGGTTTCACATTTTCGTGGACGCAACGAAAGACAGGATTTAAGGTACGACACTTCATGCAGTACCAGCATCAAACGTACACAGAAGTACCACCGCTGCTGCTGTACAACGTCGTATGCACAAGGGGGCAACTTCTTCGACCATAACCCTCGGGTTAGAGGGCAAGCCGAAGGGGTGGCATGGGATGCTCTCTAATAGTATTTGTCTTGATGCTTCCGGCTAGAGTCGACAGCGTGCTTCTTGAACCCGTCGGCTCGAGATACGGTAACCATGCATGCGTGCAACGCAGTTTGGACAACAACCCTCACCACCTAGGGGCGCGTTTATCAAGCGTATACCCGCAATAAGAAGCAGGTACACCAGCACCCAATCTGTTTCGTTTTGCACAGGCAGAGCGAAACGTGCCTCAGAACGCGAAACATCCTGGCACGTGAGGAACATTATATTTCTACCCACAGGCACAGGCCGTACACACAGGCCGGTTTCTGAAAGGAACTTCGAGAGGCAGAGCAGCGTAGAGCAGTGGCACGTATGGCACCTGGGTGCATCATGAGCGATGTGGGGCTACTTGAGCCCCTGAAAACAGAATATTACTCCTCGCAACAAGATATATGTTTTTCGCAGAGACATGTGTCCTCGGGGACAAAAGACAATCCAAGAACCTGTAACGCATTGGTGACACCACTGCTGTAGCCGCAGGGACCCGACCGTAGCATCAAGTTTTCAGAAGTATGAAATGCGACTGATGCTAGGGCAACGAGGGACTTGGTGTGAACATTGACCCAGGAGCAAACGTGCATCAGGACACATACGTGATGCTGCGTACAGCAGTATATAGAGCAGTATTTAGCACAGGGCGGACTGCTCTTGAAACAGTCGGGCTGTTTCCTTCTGAAAGTGTGACTACTGCTGCGGCAGGGTTCGGTGTCTTGGAAGCAGGTCCAGAACTCAACTACACTCGTGCAATATACTCGGGCGACACGCGCACAGACAGGGCGGAAGGTCAGCGTTATCTCGCGACCGCATCGTGGGCCCCGGCATCATCAGAGCATCGCGGTCATTCGTTGTTCGAAACTCCATATGCGATGGCAGTCAGGCAGCAGGCTGCCGTACCAGCAGAAGCGCGAACTGAACTTTACCTCGGTCTGAGAGACATTGCCGGCGCGCACGATGGTGGCCCAGTCCACATCCGAAAACTTGACCCGGATGCCATCGTGCTGCGCTTTACTGAATATCCCGCCAACTAGGCCGGACTCCGTAACTCCCTCCGCCGCCGGCATCCCCTGAGCGGGCGCAGAGGTCATCGCAGACATTAAACAGCGCACTTGCGGCGTCTCTCTTACTGCTCTTCCTTCGAAGCGACTTTTGCGTCAACGTAAAATTCGTGTGCGCCGTACCGTGTCCTTCCTGACGGCGAGAGAGATAATCTCTGCTGCTTCCTGGCTACTGTCCGCGTGAAGCACGCCCTCTCTCAGCTCGGTGCTTTGGACTCCGACAGCAGTGCAGGTGGCAAGCACAGCAGAACCCAACAACACCCATTTCCGTGAAGGATTGGGGTACCCCAACTATCAGATGATAGAACCATCATTCCACGGTGCCGCTGCCAGACATCCAAGTCCAAGGGCCGGGAAGCACCAAGACAAAAGATCTACAGCATGTAGAGCGGGACGGACTGGCCCTTTCAGATCAGGTATGTTGGTCTGTCATCAACCCTCTGGCATTGCCGGCTGTTGCCTCCCAGGCTGTGGCTTACGACCTGCAGTTGGCTAGGGTCAACTGATAACGAAAGATTGATTTCGGCGCAGTATTCTGGCATCTTCTCGACAGCAGCGTGGCCGACACCGCAGCGGCAAGTAAGTCTACGAGCGCTCCTGAACAGAGACACCAAGCCGAGAGGAAGCAGGAGAGAGAGAAGAGAAAAGAGACATTCGGTCGGTGGTTCACATTACGGAGCAGGTCTCAGCGCCCTCACTGCTGTACACATACATCTTACAATCGGCAAATCAACACACGGCAAGTTATTTTCCTAACTATAGATCCGTTGTGTTTTCTCCTTACCCCGCGGGCCCCTGGGTGCACAGCAGTGCACAGACACGAGCAGCACGAGAGACGGTGGTGAGTGGAAAGATGCCTCGCTCCGTGCGAGGGCTCGGAGACTCTCGGGCGGGGGAGAGGGAGATACTCAAGCAGGAGTCGTACAGGATCAACGGAGGCGAGTCTGGAGCATCGCCGGGGGAAGACGAGTCTTCGGACGCGGCGTCCGCGCTGCGCGTGAGCGAGGCCTGGGCGACGGAAGCGTTTCGGCTGCCCGCCGACTTCCTGCACAACCTGGCGCAGCCTGGCAAGAAGAAGAGGTGCGAGGCTTGGCGGCGGCGGCGCAGCAGCGGAAAGGATTGACTCTGCATGATGGGGAAGAGGCGTTGTGTGCTCCCACATGTACATCGGGAGAACAATCGGCGCTATTAGTCTTAGTATTGTCGCCGTTATGCTTTCTTTGCCGGGAGAGGCCATTGGTTGGGTTGTCACCCGTAATCTCTACACCAGTCAAGGGCGACATCAGATGCTTGCCGACGTTCTTCCTCGNTGGCGGCGGCGGCGCAGCAGCGGAAAGGATTGACTCTGCATGATGGGGAAGAGGCGTTGTGTGCTCCCACATGTACATCGGGAGAACAATCGGCGCTATTAGTCTTAGTATTGTCGCCGTTATGCTTTCTTTGCCGGGAGAGGCCATTGGTTGGGTTGTCACCCGTAATCTCTACACCAGTCAAGGGCGACATCAGATGCTTGCCGACGTTCTTCCTCGAGCTGTGGCTCTTGCCCGGTCCATGTGACGAGCTCGATTGCACCCGCTGCTCTGAAACATCCCGAATTAGCGAATCAGTCCTTACCGCCGTTACCCTGGTGGAAGGGCATCAACCATGGTTTCTAACGGTCAGGATATGCGTAATGATACGGACGGTCATGCCAAGGTTAACGCNGAGCTGTGGCTCTTGCCCGGTCCATGTGACGAGCTCGATTGCACCCGCTGCTCTGAAACATCCCGAATTAGCGAATCAGTCCTTACCGCCGTTACCCTGGTGGAAGGGCATCAACCATGGTTTCTAACGGTCAGGATATGCGTAATGATACGGACGGTCATGCCAAGGTTAACGCTTCCGTGGTTTCTTCCGTGCATATCTCTCTCGTGTATCCGTCTCCTATGTGCCGATATGACCGTCTGCCGTCTGCTATGGCAACGCGGGAGAAAGTAGTGGTCAAACAAGGGTTAATAATTGGTCACCAGAGCAGAAAAATACTGTACTGCTTGTGCCGCCTGGTCTACTGCTGTGTGCCACTTCCAGGGGTGCGGCTTGTAGGGGTGCGGGCGAACGCACCGGGGTGTAAACAGAAGAGATCACGCACACCAACCCATCGTCCGGTTCACAACAGCGGTGAACTAACACACTGCCGGCTCGTGATAGTTAGGGTTATTCATAGCGTGGAAAACACAATGGCGAACGTTTCTTGGGTGGTTCTTGCCTCTTGTAAAATGCACCCAGTACCGAACGATGTATGCTCCCGGTTCGCGGACGTGCCCTCTACATGCCATGTATGTGTCCAAGTGAAGTAAATGAGTACTGCAAGTCGCTGCGCTCTTGACGTTTTTTGCGAGCCCGTGGTAGCGCCCGACCTGTACAAACCGGTGCATCGCCTGCATCCTCACGGCAAATGATTTAGCTCGATGCGACGCGAGATCCATCTGACCTACCTCAGCGGNCCATATGAAGTAAATGAGTACTGCAAGTCGCTGCGCTCTTGACGTTTTTTGCGAGCACGTGGTAGCGCCCGACCTGTACAAACCGGTGCATCGCCTGCATCCTCACGGCAAATGATTTAGCTCGATGCGACGTGAGATCCATCTGACCTACCTCAGCGGAGACCAACGGAGCTCAAGAGACGACCCTACACAAGAAGGCGTGTTTTGCGATGAAACCCATAGCTTTGCGCGCTGATGTGTGTAGAAGAAAGCAAGCAAGCTGGGTTAAGCCCCTTGTAGGCCGTTTTCACAGCAAGTATGGACCACAGCTATTCCGTACATGCCATGTCGTATTCCACCTCAGTTGTGCGGGAGTGCCTATTGCATTGTGTGAACGAAGCCTGTCGGTTTTTGGGCGGATTTGAATCTCGAAGGCTTCGCTGCTGTTCCTCCCGCCCTCTCTCGCTTTTCTTGCGAGATTGTTGACGTCATCCCTTGTGTTGTCGGCATCAATTTTCACACCAGTTGGGATTCGGTCTTGAGACGCACCAGTCGGGCTCACNGTCCAAGTGAAGTAAATGAGTACTGCAAGTCGCTGCGCTCTTGACGTTTTTTGCGAGCCCGTGGTAGCGCCCGACCTGTACAAACCGGTGCATCGCCTGCATCCTCACGGCAAATGATTTAGCTCGATGCGACGCGAGATCCATCTGACCTACCTCAGCGGAGACCAACGGAGCTCAAGAGACGACCCTACACAAGAAGGCGTGTTTTGCGATGAAACCCATAGCTTTGCGCGCTGATGTGTGTAGAAGAAAGCAAGCAAGCTGGGTTAAGCCCCTTGTAGGCCGTTTTCACAGCAAGTATGGACCACAGCTATTCCGTGCATGCCATGTCGTATTCCACCTCAGTTGTGCGGGAGCGCCTAGTGCATTGTGTCAATGAAGCCTGTCGGTTTTTGGGCGGATTTGATCCTCGAAGGCTTCGCTGCTGTTCCTCCCACCCTTTTCGCTTTTTCTTGCGAGATTGTTGACGTCATCCCTTTTGTTGTCGGCATCGATTTTCACACCAGTTGGGATTCGGTCTTGAGACGCACCAGTCGGGCTCACACGGGAAGAAGGCCGCACAGAAGTGTTTTTTTGTTTGTTTATGCCCCACCTTTCCTCCTGCGGCACTTGGCTTCATTGTTATTGGGAGAGTTTGCAGCCATTCCTTTCCCTCGCCGACCTTATTTTGTAGCGATCCACCCGCTTCTGTCGCTGTGTGCCAGCCCGCCTCATCAAGAGGTCGGTCCAAGAATTTTTCCTTGTATTTACATTCTAATGTATTTTTTCTGAAGAAAACGGTTGTGGCAACGATTCACCCGCTCTTGTCGTCTTTGAGTGCCGACCCGCCTCATCAAGAAGAGGTCGGTCCAAGAATTTTTCTTTGTGCTAACATTGTGATGTACTTTGTCTGAAGAAAACGGTTTGTCTGTTGCAACGATTCACCTGCTTCTGTCGTCTTTGAGTGCCGACCCGCCTCATCAAGAAGGGGTTGGTCCTCTTTTGGTTTGATGCATGTATTATACAAATAGAAGAATATTTNCAAGAGGTCCGTCCAAGAATTTTTCTTTGTATTTACTTTCTAATGTGTTTTTTCTGAAGAAAACGGTTTTGACAACGATTCACCCGCTTCTGTCGTATTTGAGTGCCGACCCGCCTCATCAAGAAGAAGTCGGTCCAAGAATTTTTCTTTTGTGTTTACATTGTGATGTATTTTGTCTGAAGAAAACGGTTTGTCTGTTGCAACGATTCACCTGCTTCTGTCGTCTTTGAGTGCCGACCCGCCTCATCAAGAAGGGGTTGGTCCTCTTTTGGTTTGATGCATGTATTATACAAATAGAAGAGTATTTTTTCGAAGATTCGCACGCTTCTGTCGTCGTTGTTCCCGGCCGTGTCATCAAGCAGAGATCGGTCTAGGAACCTTCCTTGAATCTTTTGTATGTATTCTAAGAAAAATACCACTTATTTGCAAAGGTTCACACCCTTCTCTCGTCGTTGTTCCCGCCTGCCTGCCTCATCAAGCAGAGGTCGGTCCAAGAACAAGAACGGAAGGGACAACGGGGACACGACGCCCTTCCTCCAGGAGATGCCCAACGCCGCCCCGCGGCAGACGTCGTGGACGCAGGCGAAGCCTCAGGCGCTGGAGCGCCCGCAGCGGCCCGGGCGGTGAGCTTGGCTGGAGGAGGGTTGTTTTTGCGGTTGCCGCGGTGCTCGTTAAGTGGGCTATGGGGTCAGGGGGCGGGGGGGCTTGCCTCCTTGCTCGCTGCGTGCACTCGTAAGGCGGCCGGTTTGGCGCGTTGGTCGCTGCTCATTTTGTGAGCTACAGCTACAGGGACAAGAGGCGGCGGTTGGGGAGGGGGGCGTGCTTCCTTGCTGCCTGCGTGCACATGGAAGGCGGCCGTCGACCGACCGCGTATCTGTTTGGAGACCTGGAGGATTTTTTTCGTTTTGGCCATGAAGACACCACCGAGATTCGTGCGCGCTCTTCGCACCCCTACCGTAACATGGCTCAGGTTTTGGGATAAGGTTTTTGGAATGAAGCGCCGCTCTTTTTTTTCCCCGAATGAAAGACACCTCCAAGATTCGTTCGCTCTTCGCGCCCCTACCATGACTCGCTAGAATAGATGGGGGATGGGGAGCGCTAAGACCTTCTTGTGTCTCGTGAGGATGAGCAGACTCTTGAATGCCCCCATTCATTTTCCATCCACCATCTCACACGTTGTCTCTCCACTATACTGGTAATGGATGGGGGATGGGGAGCGTTATGACCTTCTTGTATCTCGTGAGGATGAGCTGGCTCTTGAATGCCCCCGTTCATTTTCCATCCACCATCTCACACGTTGTCTCTCCACTATACTGGTAATGGATGGGGGATGGGGAGCGTTATGACCTTCTTGTATCTCGTGAGGATGAGCTGGCTCTTGAATGCCCCCGTTCATTTTCCATCCACCATCTCACACGTTGTCTCTCCACTATACTGGTAATGGGTGGGGGATGGGGAGCGTTGTGACCTTCTTGTATCTCGTGAGGA